AACTTACCCCATGTCTCATTTTTTATTAAATAACCTTGGGCTACAATGGGTTAATTCATTAATCTATTCTAATTTGCTAATTGGCTCATATGTCACTTATTTGAGAAAATTATACATTAATAGCCACTTCTTGGCTGTTTGACGGCAACTGAGTCACTTAATATCTCTGGGCTCCCATTTCTTTACCTTAATTAAAATAAAGGAGGTAAATGTAATATCAAAGTCTGGGGTGATATGTGAGTTGGGCCTGGTAGAGAAAATCCAGGAGGAGGACTCCCTGGGGGGCATTTGTAAGGAAAGGTAGGAGAGATAGAAGAGTGTCTAAAGGAAATGAATGTAGCGACAAAATTGCCTAGTAGACTGCAGGCTGAGCATAATTATTGCTGCATCCTCCAGAGGTAAGGAAGAGTCATGCAAAATGTCCCCGAGGGGCTTGGACTTCCTATTATGTTTATTAATCATCTTGATGAAAACGGAGAGTCTGCATTGATTAAATTCACTAATGATCCTAAACTGAGCAGGGGAGTAAATTCCAGAAAAGGATGGATTTATAAGGTGAGTGCTAATATTAACCAGCTCATCTTCATGAGATGGGTAGCAGTAAATGAAATGGGATTTGCAGTAGATAACGGCAATAAGGTGCACCTGGGGGGAAACTATAATGAGACCAGAACCAAGCCAGGAAGCAGTTATTTAGGAATTAATAAGAGCTCTAACATAGAAAGTGAATAATAAGTTAAAAACAAGGTGAAAACAGATTCTCACAATGTATCACAATTTTACTCCCAGCTCTGATGCAGAGTGGGGCGACCGGTAAGTCAACAATCACAATACAGGTGAGGAAACTGAGGCCCAGAGTGGTTAAGTGGGACTAAATCAGGGCAGCAAAACACAGACGTGCTGGTCACTGTAGTCCCCTGTGTGGTGGCAGGAGATCATTCGTCCTTCTAGACTAACCTACATTTAGTCTCAAAAGCCTTCTCAATATAGTATATGGTGTTTTCTAGTTTCTTGGCCATCTCTAATTTGGCTTATTGGCCTAGACATTGGCAGAGTCTCAGTCAACACCTAGATCTCCCGATTTTGTCTAAGGCTTCTTTCTCACCCTCCTAACTCCTAAATTATCTATAGTCAACACTGACTATAACTTCAAAACCCAGCACTCAACAGGCCCTCTTGGCTTCTTAGCCAAGACTCTGACCTTGGTTTCTACCAGATTTATTTGTGGTATCTTGTGTCACATTTAAAAAAAACAAAGCCTCTGTGTATGTCCTCGTGTTGGGAAAAAAAAATTAAATATCAATAGTTTGGGGACACTGAGGTTTGTGCAGTCGAGAAATAACAGGAAATATTTATCAAAAAGAATCTACTGAATGCAAATAATAAAAGTGTCACAGGATTTGACAAAATGAATAATGTTAAAACTGATGAGTTTCACAAGGTAGCCCATGCCTTTAATCCCAGCACTCAGGAGGCAGAGGCAGGTGGATCCCTGTGAGATTGAGACCAGCCTGGTCTACAAAGTGAGTTCCAGGCCAACTGGGGCTACAGGGAGACTGTCTCAAAATAAAACAAACAAAACAAAACTTCTAATGAATGTTTTATACTTGTTTCTTTCTTGGGACACAAAGTGAGTTTTAGTATTGTTGAGAGAGATCTGTGTGTATGAGGTTAGCTTAGTTAGGTTGGGGTTTCAACCTGGGGAGGAAAGGAGGGAGGGGAAGATTCGCCTTAGCAGAATTATGAAGTAGGTGACCATGTCTGATTCTCAGTTCCCTTTATCCTGCTTTCAGTTCCCTCACCCTAGGAAGGCTCGTGATGGGCTCATGATGTTGTTCAGAGTCCTTCCACTGCACAAGGCTCTGTTGATTGTATACCGAACAGCTGTTGGGGGCACCACTCTTGTAGGAGTTCAGGTCAGTATGACCTGCCTTCTTACAGAGCCAGAGCTCTACTTCTCAAATCTTTCTCTTTCCTCTGTCTCTCATGGAGATAAATCTAATAGGCATCAGCTTTGACTCACATCCACATGGGCCAGTGGGTCACCGCCTAAGAATTTCCTGTAGTCCAAGTGAACAAAATTCCATTAGTAGAAAATGTTCACATGTGCTTGAAAGAAATCTGTCCTTAAATATACTGTTTAAAACGTCCTGGAACATCCTACAGGCTTAATAAGAGGCGCTATAGCCAGACATAATCACAAAGTGGGCTGCCAAGACCTGATTTTTTTTGCAACTTGTAGTGTCCTGTCACACCATGTCAGAGTGCTAGGAGACTGGGCACTGCTGTCAGTTAGCCTAGGGTTCATCCCCATCTCTGACACTTGCTGGTTGTGGAGGCTTAAGCAAATCACCTAAACTTTCCAAACCTATATCCTCATCTGGAAAAAAAAAAAATCTTAATAGAATTAGCTAAGAGAATGCATGAGAATCATTTAGGATGGTGCTTTGCAAATAACTACAAATAACAGCAACTTCCTTTGTCCAAGAAATATGCCCCTTCATCCATGGTTACTATGCAATTCCCATTACTTTTCATGGATCTCGCTAGCAGATAAGGTACTCATTTTATTTGCCAAGCAAACCAGTCAATTAGACCATAAACAAAAGTGGGTGCAGAACCAATGCAGCTGCCCAGGAGATGCCCAGATCTTTACAACTGCTGTTAAGCTAAAGGTTTGGTATGAATTTAGGTTTTATGTACTCATTAATATTACTCAGTTTTAAAATCTTCTTTAAGAGGATAAAGAAATGTATGAATTCAGACTTGTACATTGCAAAGCTATAGAGATGGAGACCAGATTGGTGCTTTCTAGGAGTTAGGGATAGAGAAGCAAGAGAGAAAGAGATGGGTGTATTTGAAAAAGGGGGGAAAGACCAATCTTGTGATTAAGTACTCTGCATGGTAACTGAGATTTGAAGTTAGATGTGTGTTATCACTGCATAAGACTAAATGTATGTAAATAAGTTCACACAAAAATCGGTAGACTCAGCAGGCCAGGTGTGGTTCTGCACACCTTTAATCCCAGCTCTTGGGAGGCAGAGGCAGGCAGAGCTCTGTGACTTCAAGGCCAGCCTTGTCTACATAGTGAGTTCTAGGCCAGCTGGGGCTACAGGGAGACCCTGTCTCAAAAAAACCAAAAAAAAAAAAAAAAATCAATAGACTCAACAAGGATTGGTGGGTCGTCATTGCCAACATTCTGTGTTTAAAATTGTACTGGAGTTTTTACATAGTCACAATTGGGCTTGTTGACAGTTGTGCTCATTCATTAAAGGAGTGCCAAGCAGGGTGACTGGACCCTCACCTGAATATCCAGCCATTCTTTCCAGCCACTCTTGCCAGCCAACTAGTCCAGCCTTGAAAGACAAAAGAAAATGAGGAAGAACCCAACAGAGGATGCTTTTGGAAGCCCTTGTCAAGAAACTCTAATGGACTCTCATGAACATTTGAAAAGCACCTTGTTCTGATTTTTTTCTAGTTCCCTGTCTAGAACTTGTAATGCTAATTACTCTTGCCTTTACTTCTTCACATCTCCTATTTATGATTCAAGGACTTTCTTTTCCCCTTAGAGACAAGAATTAGGCAATTTGGGAGTCTTTTAGATAAACCCACTGAAGGGGTACTCCAGTTACCTCACCCTGCATCTGTGTTCAGCATGGAAGAAGCCAGAGTGGTAAGTGTCCCTATTCCCTATTGGCAATTTGGGTAACCCCTTCAGGGGATGGTGTGATAGGAGGTAGGAATTGGCTAGGCAGTTAGGGTAAAAAGACCTCAAAGAAATGTAGCCAGTTTCTTGGCTAAAAATCAAAATGTCCTTGGACCTGTTAGCAACATACTCTGTTCCAAGACCAAAAATTTCAAAAGTATTTGGAAGCTTGTAACTAATCCTTAAAAGATTTTAGGGTTACCTCTTCAGAGGGGGAATGTTGGAGGGGAGGAAGTGGGCATGGATTTGATCCAAACACCTTATATGCATGTATGAAATTCTCAATAAAATTTTTGTAAAAAAAAAATTAAATAAATATAAAATAAAATAGTACTGGAGTTTTTGCAAGATTTTGCCATTGGGGGAAACTAAGTAAAAGAAAGATGTGATCTCTGTTTCTTCCATAGTTTATAAATCTATGATTAGCTGATAACAAAAGTATAATCTAAAGAACTGGATGGGGCTGAGGAGATGGCTCAGCAGGTAAGAGTGCTTGCTGTGTAAGCTTGAGGACTTGACTTCAAACCCCCAGCACTCATAGAAAAAGCCAAGTGTGGTTGCCTGAATATCTGTATTCACAATACTGTGTGTTGTGGGGTGGGGGTTGGAGGCAGGAGGATTCCTGGGATTTACTGAATGCCAGCCTACCTCTAGTTTTAGTGAGAGTCCCTGTCTCAAGGGAATAAGGCAAAGAGCGACAGAGCAGGGCAACCTATGTCTGCCTCTGCCCTCCATGTACACACAAATGTTCACATACCCGGAACACACTTGTACATATACCACACATTCATGCATGCACACATACACAACTATGGATAGAAGGAAAAACATAAAACAGTAATCAAGGCTGGAAAGATGGCTCAGTGGTTAAAAGCACTGGCTGCTCTTACAGAGGACCCAGGTTTGGTTCCCAGCACCCACATGGTAGCTAAAAACCATCTTTAACTCTAGTTCCAGGGGATCTGATGCCCTTTTCTGGCCTCTGCAGACACCGCATGCACATAGTACACTTATATACAAGCAGGCAAAGCATGAAACAAAAATAATAAATAGATCATGAAATAAAAAACCACAGTAATTAAAAAAATAATAAAATCAGACCTGGGAAGGGCTTGTTCTAGTGAGAAAGTAGAACCACAAAGCTTCCCATTGCATCTCCTTTGTGGTTGAAGACACAGAAGATGTGTGGAAGATGAGACATAGTAAAGATGAAGCCATTTCAAGGCCAGGTGAATGTGTGTAGTTTCCACGGTTATCTGCTGTCACTACTTTTAAATACACACAAGGGACTCACCCATGTAAATAGGTTGACTCCACTCGCCCCAGTTCCCAGCCATTCTGCATGTGGAGCTCACAGCTGCTCTCACTTGAATAGAGTACGTAGAGACATCATCAATTTTTGAGATGAATTTGTTGGTTGTCAGTTTTTCCATCTAAATGGGAGATATTAGCATTATAATCATCCCTAGACATATAATTTATGCGAATTACCAGCTTGAGAGGTCACATGTAGGTGATGTGACTCATTATTTAGCTAGTAATTAAAAATCAATAGGACATATTCATGAATTTATTCCAGACTGCTTCAGTGTGATGTGTTGGTAGTTTAGTTACCCTGCAGGAGAAAACGATCTTGAAGCTAAAATATAAAGTGATCCATTGGAAGGTCTTAGATGATGTCATCAGGGCCGCATTGATGTTCCAGAGAGACTCAAGTCACTTCCACCCACATTACATAATCTCTGTTAACTTGTGTCTCCACATTAGCAAGCCCAACTCCTGAACAGTGTCAGACAATTTATAACTGTTCAGCGCTGCTCCATGACCATGTTCTGGGTCAGCTTTCCTCGCTTTTTGCTTAGACTCTTTCAGTAGCCTTTAGCATATAACCATGGGTCCATGTGGACCCCATTCAATCCAACTTCATTCATGCTACTACAGAGATTGCCCTTCTACACAGCACATGTAAAATCCATTGGTGCCTCGAATTGCCCATATCCATGAATTTAAAACAGAAACTCTTTGTTTTCTAATAAAATGTCATAAAGCCACTCTGGGAGAAGTTCCCATAGTTCTAGTATTGGCCTTATGTCCAGGTCAGCTCAGTCATTGTCTCTCAGCTGAAGGAAGCATATTCTCTCCAGCCTTTGAGTTACTTCTTTTCCTCACACACCTACCAGGCCCAGTGTGGCTGGTGGACTGGTAGAGGTCAGGAAGTGTTGATTACCGGTCTATAATCAGATAAATACACACAGGGAGAGTACAATTTAGCAACTTGGAGAGCCGTTGGGCATTGCTATGACCTCCTGGGCTGGTACTCTAATGATCTGTGGCTGGTATTCTAATGTCTTTGGCTATATTTTTTTCCTAGCTAATATTTTTTAATTGTGATTTGTGAAAGCAACAGTCTGATTAGGAATTTACAAAAGAAAGTCAGTCCTCCACTGAGGATATTTCTGGAAGCACTACTTTCTCTTACCATACAAGTTTGTCTGTCCCTCCAGGTTGCATTCAGTTTGTCTCTGTGGAGCCTGAAGGAGGTTGTTTTGCATCCCTCCCTCCTCCTCTATCGGTCTTTATTACAGTAAGGCAACTCGGAGACTGTCCATCAGAACAGGATTTACCTTAGATGTCCACTCATTTGTGTATGAATTACCAGTTTAGGAAGTCACACATAAGTCGTATGACTTATAATTCAGCACATAATTTAAAATCAATAGGACATAGTTTATTCCAGACTTCGGAAACAGAGCCTTATTCCCTGTCATGTTTCCCCCCAAGAAACAGATTTGAAAAATTCAATTAATTGAATTTGGTATGTCTCTTAAATTTTTTTTTTACATTTATTTGTGTGTTTCTGTGTGTATGTGTGTGTGTGCACATACGTATGTGTGCTCACAGATGTGTGCCACAGTGAGCACGTGGAGGTCAGAGACAATTTGAAGGAGTCACTTTCTCGTTCTATCATGTGGGTTCTGGGGAATGAACTCAGAAAGTCAGGCTTGGTGATAAGCACCTTAACGCCCTCACCCATCTCACCAGCCTTGGTTGTATCTTATCAGTAAGACACTGAGTTTGAATCCTAGCTTCTCTGATTTTTCTTTTGCTTTGTTACTATGATAAGTTATTTCAACCTTTTTGCCTTAATTTTCAATAAAATGGGAAAGATAATTATATATACATTTATGTATATATATAAAACTTATTTTGAAGAAGGTATAAAATAACATAATAAAGCTTGAAAGTTACAAAATATACCCTTGGTACTATTTTCAAGTGTATGGGATCAGTAGCGTTAAAATACAGCCAAACTGTTTTATAACCAGCTTGTAGCATACTTTCCATCTTGTGAAACTGAAGTTCAAGGTTGGGAATGTAGCTCATGGTTAGCAAGCCTGAGACCCTAAGTTCAATTCTTATCATTCAATATCAGAAATACCAAAATCCTGAAACTCTGTATCCATTAAACAATAGTTCATTTCTCACTTCCCCCATTCCCTGACAACCATCATCCTATTTTTCTGTTTCTAGGCACTTGGATACCCTAGGCATCTCATAAAGGTAGAATCATGTACTGTTTATCTTTTGTGACTAGCTTATTTCACCTTGCTTGCTGTCCTTAAGGTTAATCTATGTCACAGCATCTATTGGACTTTAAAGATTGACGAATGCTCCATTTTATTTATCAATATATGCCACATTTTGTTTCCCTAGTCATGTTCTATGAGGTTTTGGGCCCTTGTTTTTGTTTCATTTGAGACAGGAGTGTCACTGACCTTGAACCCAATCACAGCATTCCTCCTGTCTCTGCTTCCCTGCTAAGTGCTAGAATTGCAAATGTGGACCACCAAGCCTGGCTCTTTTCATCTGTTTAGAGGGAATCCTTCCAGCCCTTGGTTATTGTAGATAATGCTGCAACAAACAGGGGTGTCCAAGCATCTTTTTGAGACCCTGTTTTGAGTTCTTTTTGCACATGTACCTAGAAGTGAAATTACTGGCTCTTACGGTAATTCTAACTTTTTTGAAAACCCGTTTTCCTGTTCTCTTCAGCAGCTGCATAGGTGGTGTTTTTGTTGAAGCTCCTACAGTGAGTTTCCATTTGATACTTTGTATTATTTTCAACCAAAAGTATATCCTTCCAAAACAAAAGTCTTCTCAGATTTGGTCTACTTCTGTAATACCAGGGTAAGATGACAGTTAACTTTGACTTTCTTGGCTCTGAAATACACCTGGAAGAGACACTAATGATACTCTTTTAAAGGCTCCTTGAATGTAAGTCTGTCCTGGAATACTAGTACAATATGAAGAATTACCTGAAAGTAACCATTCTTCATGTTGCAGATTTTCAACTCATAATCAAAGCACTGGACTGGAAAGGCAGAAACGGGTTTCTCCCATAGGATAGAGAGAGAAGTTCCCTCAATCTCAGCTGTGACATTCATCGGAGGATTTACTTGATCTAGGTTAGAGAAGTCAAGAGGTCAGTGACAGTTCTGTAGAATCACTGATCAGAGTTGATAGCTCCAATCCATCCCTTTTCTCCAGGCATTTCTCAAGATTTACCATTAAGTCTCTATCAACCAATCTCCAAGCCACAGGAAGCTGGTGGCTTCCCATAAGACTCTTGGAGTGGTTGTACTGAAGAGACTCACTTGTATTAAAAAAATGTCAAAAGGTAACTATGTCAAATGCAGGTGATTGCTTGAATCCCTTTCTGGTCGACTCATCGCAAAGTGCATTGTATTCCATGATCCCTTTAAACTTTCCATGTTCTATGAAGCTCAGCATAAAACTAACTCTGGAGAGAACATGGCCCCTGAGCTCCACCATACACCCAACCTCCAGTTCACAGCAGGCATGTAACCCTGAACAAGCACTTTGTCCTTCTGGCTTCAGTGTTTTGTTCTAGGGGATAGAGATAGCTTCTTAGCTTTAGTTCTCTGAGATGCAGGGATGTGGTGGTACACTTCTTCAATCCCAGCACTCAGGAGACAGAGGCAGAAGGATCTCTGTGAAATCTTAGCCAATCTGGTCTGCATACCAAGTTCCAGGCCAGTTGGGGCTACAGGGAGAACTCATCTCAAAGAACAGATAAAGCTAAATATGTCTTTACTTAGCACTGTGAGGGTCCTTCCCCCTGAGTTCTCACTTGATGGTCTTATGACTGTATAAGGGGAGTGGAAAGTATTTTAAAGTGAGAGTTCTTGTCTTTGATTATGCAACTTAGATCGTAGGCTTGCTGAAACACAGGGCCAAGTAGAAATGAGATCCGCTGGCTTCTAAGCCAGAAAACATTCGCAACCAAGAAAGTACTTATAACTCTTGGCAATCCTAGGAACTAGCCCCAGTAAAATGAAAATGTCACAAATTCCTATAGTCTGTACTATGTCATATTTTCATATTATTATTGTTTCCCAGGTCTCCCTCAGCATATTTTATTTCCTATTTTCATGAACATGACATTTTTAGGTTGCCTAAGAAATATAATGATTACGAGAATTGTGTAGCCATGTTAAGAAGGCCTGTGGTTTTTTTTATTTTTAATTTTTATTTTTTTGGTCTTTTTGAAACAGGGTCTCCCTATAGCCCTGGCTGCCCTGGAACTCACTATGTAAGCCAGGCTGGCCTTGAATTCACAGACAACCTCTGCCTCCCAAGTTTTAGGACTAAAGGCATGTACCACCACACCCAGCAAGAAGGCCTGTGGTTTTTTAAGAGTTATATTACATTGGCTGTACATACATCACAGTCAAATTATGCCTTTTAAATAATAGTTTAGTATATTTATTGAACACTTAATGCTGGGCACCACTTTATAGTTGTTATTCCACTTAATTCTTACAGAAATTACACAAGGAGTATTCCTTTATCCCCTTTTTTTCATACATGAAGATTAAAGCATAGAACAGTGACTAGCATAGCTAAATTCCTTCGTACAGGTAGTAGAGGAGCCTGGAGGCTAGTCCAGGCAGCCTGGCTCCATAGTCCATGATAATAGCCCTTCCACAGCTGAAGACTAGGTGTTAATAAGATTCTTGAAGAGCTTCACTATACAAATATCTAGGATGAGGGAAACATCTTCTGTTTTTAAGAAAAGGAGATGAAATATTGAATATTATGTCCACAGTTGAAAACTTCATGGTAAAGCTTGCTTTCTAACTCAAGAATGTCTAGAGGGGCTGGGAGAAGGCTCAATAGGTAAAGGGCTTGCTGTATAAGCATGAGGACTTGATTTTGGATCCCCAGCACCCACATAAAAGCAACTGGGTATGGTGATGCACTCCAATAACCCCAGAGCTGGGGGTGGAGTGGTATCAGAGATAAGTAGATCCTAGGTGTTCATTAGCCTGCCAGTTTAGCCAAAAGGGAAAGCTCCAAATTTAGTAAGATGTTCTGTCTCAAAAAATAGGGTGGAACTGGGCATGGTGTGGCACGTATCTCTAATCTTAGCACTTAGGAGGCAGAGGCAGGTTGATCTCTGAGACAGAGGCCATCCTGGTCTACACAGTGAATTCTAGGCCAGTTAGGGCTACAGGAAAACCCTGTCTAAAAGCAAACAAAAACACCAAAATTAACTAAATAACTAAATAAATAAAGTGAAGAAGCAAAAAGCAACTGAGGAAGGGGTCCTGATGTTAATCTCTGGCCCGTGTGTGTGTGTGTGTGTGTGTGTGTGTGTGTGTGAGAGAGAGAGAGAGAGAGAGAGAGAGAGAGAGAGAGAGAGAGAGAGAAATTTTAACAATCTAGAGGACATATTGGAATCTATGAGGCCTGGAGGTAGTTTAGCTTTGAAAGAAGAGCCACATGATGGGAAACCTGGATGCCTTTATATCAGATTGTGGGGAAAAGGCTCAGAATTGTTTGAATGGAAACATTGTATCTGTCACAGGACCAACATGCAGAAATGTCATAAAACCAGTGAGAAAGGAGGAGCACTGATATAAGATCTCTTATCTAGTGAGTTCACTTTTCCTGGTGGTGTCATTTTCAACTGGGGAGTTGAATTTGCCCTCCAAGGGACATGTTGGAGACATGATCTGGTCACAACCCAGGATAAGGGAATCAGAGGGAAGATATGAATGATATCCTCTGAACATCTTACCATGGTCAGGCCCTTATAATGCCAAGTTATGCAGTCAAAAGTCCTGTACAGTTAAAGTTGGAAAGCCTGCCCCAGTGGTTTTCCAGTGTGTGTGGATGGTTGCTTAATATTTGAAAAAGTCAGACCTTTTCCTATGCCAAGACTGTGCCCTTACATTATTCCTTCTTAGGGATAAGAGCGTCTCACCGATGGCATGCAGGAAGAACAGCTGATCCAAGGGCTTGATAGCGGCATGCTTGCTTGAGCCGTTAACATGCACTGCAAGCTGCTCAAGCCCTTTGCTGTTGATAAATGTCCTGGGAAACCAGCATGCAGTGTTTCTGTTCAGAGCATCTGTGCTGTATTCCTGGCATTCTTCCGTCCAAAAGCCATACCTAAATTGGAACACCCATTAGTTTTTATAAGGCAGGAGGAAACGACCCATTTGCATAAATAAAAATAGATACCGACCTATAGTAGAGGAAATACTGTGTGTCTTCAGGGGCATCCTTGCCAACAAGCCAGGTGCATAGAAGAGAAACTCGGTATGGCCTTAAGTGTGTGCGATTATTCATGGCAGTGTTTGTGGTGCAAGTTAAATTCACAACTGAGGTTCCAGGAGCTCCTAAGTGATTGCCAATGAGAGGAACAAAACATTACCATGATGACTTCAGAATCTTACACGTTTTCTTGAAATAGTATTGATTTTGAATGACCACAATCATCTTTTTGTAGAAACCTATTTGCAAAGGGCAAATTTAATGGAGGAATGAAATTAAAATCACAGAGGCGCAGGTTCCGACATGAAAGAGCTCTCTAGCTGCTTTAGATGGAGCTGAGGGAGCTGTGTCTATGAGTTTCCTTTCTGAAATTTCAACAGCAGTGTCAGGTGTTGCTACCCAGCAACTTCAGTGTTCTAGAGCCACATTTGTCAGTAACTAGCTGTGAGACATTGCCCCCTACCATGTCTGAGTTCCACTTTTTCCAACTGTAAATGAGTAAGTCAAGGAATAGTTCCAGAAATCCTTTCTATCCTAAATTGTATGAGTCATTTGTGTCCACACGTGTCATGAATTATGCAGATTGCTACCACTCAAATGAGTTTTGGCAATACTCGAGGATACTGGCCAACCAGTCTACAACAGCTTACAAAATCCCGGCACTTGAGAGGCAGAGGCAGAAGGATCTTTGTGAGTTCGAGGCCAGCCTGGTCTACATAGTGAGTTCCAGAACAGTTGGGGCTACAAGAAGACCCTGTCTCAAAAAGACAAAAAAAAAGTAAAAGAGTCTCCTCTAATACACTAGCACTTAAGATATTTTAAATGAAACCCTTTTGTATTTATTTACACCAGATTTCCCCAAATTAGGTTTGTGCTGCCAAGAACACTGTGGCAAATTCTACCTAGCCTTCCTGTGATTGCTCAAAGAAGGC